CTTTGCATGAAATTCAAAACAAACAAACAATGAAATTTTGAGCTTCAAACAAAAAGTTTTATATTTAATCAACTTTATAAATCTATGCATTGTGGTTTGTGAAAATTAACAGCATCAGAGTACAGTGACGACACTGATGGGTTGTCATCAAACCAATCAGAAACTGCCACACGAGCATGACGTCTAAAAAAATTCAAGCAGTCATATCATTCCCAGTAGTAGTAGTGCTGTGAGATAATCATACTTTTTAAGGCTGAAATACCACTTGATAAGAGTGTGAAATCAAAGTTTTAACTAGTCAAGGATACTTGACATATTCCAGTAGGATCTGTACGGAAGAATCTGTGGAGAGCACGAGAGTCTGGTATTGCTAATAACACAATTGTTCGAAGTAGAAAAATAAAACTCTTAAAAAATGATGTTAAGTATCTCGAGGCATGTTCTTTACGAGATTGGTGACGGCTTTGCTGTAAATGCCGATGTAAATGTTACCGTGAAAACAGCATGATATACATTAACACTTTTAGTAACTGGGGAGTTTTATAATAAAATCGATCAAAGTAAAAACTAAAACGTAAAAATAACTCTGAAAGATAGTATTTTCACCTGAGTCAGCCACATTGTAAAATATGCTTTGAAGGGTTTAAAATATTTATACTGTCAATGCACATAAAAATGTAAAACACATACTTTGTTGATCGTATACATATACATTTTCTATTCTTTCACAATCCTATAAGTATGAATCAGCAAGTGTTTGTCAAGATGGAGTGGTGAAAAATAAAATCACACCCCTAAGCTCATCTTTTGTTTTTATATTGCACGTTCTATGTAAGCTTATCGCTTTAAAGTTTAAACAGCCTTAAGACTGATCAATACAAAATTCAGTTATCTGTGCACTTTTGTAAACAAGTTTATCTGTTTAAACGTACAATTATACAATTTTAAATTTCTATTATCGAGTTTTTCTGAGCAATTTTTCTACTTATATTAAAGTATATAACAAATATATTTTAAAGGTTAACAAATTCGATATTATTGCGTTACGAGATAAAACAACATGTAGTCAGTTTTAAAATCCATGAAGGTCAACAAGAAACACATAAAACAGGTTAAAACTCGTTGATGATATGTTATATAGAAACGTTTTATGACTTGAAACATGCTACGTATCAAGAAGACAACTTTGGTTGCACAGTCGTTGTTAATTGGTGTTTCCGCGTTAAAATAACTATACTATGTATTATTGTTTATTTGTAATTAAGCACAAAGCTACACAATGGGCTATCTGTACTCTGCCCACCACGGGTATTGAAACCCGGTTTCTAGCGTTGTAAGTCCGCAGACATACCGCTGTGCCACTGGGGGCGGCTAACCTGGTATTTATCTCAATATATATATATACACATATCAATAACTATCCTGATTTGTTTCATTTTTAACATGAATGGCACCAGTGATTATCGAAATTTTTGACAAAAGTAAAGTTATTCTAGTAGTCGTCCAGTGATACATTTTTACAGATTCTTAGCAACATTGGAGTTATTACATTCATTAAACTTGTTCAGGTGAGTTGTTCAATTATGATTCACGTGAGAGATTCATGTATAAAATTGGAGGTGAAGATTGATGAAAAATCTTGAATTAACATCATTACGGCTGGCTTCGTCTGAAAGTCCTAATGTTATGATTTTGCTGTTATTTTTAGAGGGGCTTATAAATGTTATCTAAAACCGGGATAAACACAAAGTTATTATTGGAAAAATATAAGTATTTTAACTTTATCACTTAACTGTTACCTCCAGATGACTGAGAAATATGATCGAGAGCTTATAACACTCACATTCGGTGTATGATCCCTTCCCTGCAATGGGAAAAGCCCAGATAGCCCATAAAGCAAATAACAAACAAATAAATAAATATAACTGTAAGTGTATATTTAATACATAGTAGCCCACCACGGGTATCGAAACCCGGATTCTAGCTTTGTAAATCCGCAGACATACCGTTGTGCCACTGGGGGGAGAGCACAGATAGCCCTTGTGTAGCTTTGTGTATAATTAAAAACAAACCAGGTTAACCATATTTAGTTACGGCGCTTTTTAACTTAACATCCGAGTATATGATTTATTACAATTTTATGATATTTTTGAAACTTTTTATTTTGTTTATCTGACGAAAAAAACGCCTGTTTATGTGATGCCATCATAAATTCCAATATCAATTAGTGTTTTTAAAGTGATCTAAGCTGAGGTTATTTTCAAATCTTACAGCAACGAAAACTTGGAAGTTTCAGAGAACAAAATAAAGTGAAAGAATTTATTAATCTTTATTGCTCTTCTAGTTGCAAACCTTATCTTTCGTGCAATGCAATATCCAAGGTTTATTACTTTTAATCTTGAAAATGGAATTAAAAGGCGAAAATTTCGTTATTTTTATTTTTGAAAGCATCTACGAAATAATTTCAAGCTGTTAGTGGAGCTCACAGTTTAATTTAAAAGAACCGGAACCAAGCTTTGCATACAATTTTGCAATAGTTTCATGATCCGTATTCTCAGGTGCACCGAAGACTACAGATGTAGGAATAATATTCGCAGTTACTAAGAGAATGGCAGAAAATGTTATTCAGAATTAAACTGAGTTTCTCTTTGGCTGAATTGAGCGTAACAGACTGAAAACCATTTGGCAGATATCTATTGAAGAAGAGAAAAAAAAACACAGTCCAGCGTGCCATACACTAGATGCCACACAGCAACATTTTCTAAATGGAGAGTTCTTAGTTAGAGAAAAATCTTTAGAAATCTATTCAAGACTGAGAAATCTAATCAATACGTAGATATAACCATGTAATCCTCTCTTCCTGAGTACTCTGGTTACCCTGTCATCCCATAATAAAAAAAATGGAAGGACACAGCTTTCAGGTATCTCTAAACACCTAAAACGTTATCCTCACTAGAGAACATACACGATACAACCATGTAATCCTCTCTTCCTGAGTACTCTGGTCACCCTGTCACTAGAGAACATACACGATACTAAGCCACACATTTCTCTAGTGACGCAGTCCATGAGAAAGTTCAGCAACACCCAAAAGGGAACGACCAAAGAAAATATGTAACTAGGATAACAGCAAGATAACTACATTCTAGAACTGATCTTCAGATTTACCGCTGAACCACTGAGGGAGGACAAGATATTGAAATAGTTAAAAAGTATATGAATGCTTATCCTCTTAAGTAGGTTCTTATGGATCAAACCTTTTATCTGCGCTCTGCTCCCTAAAGGGAATCGGACCCTGTATCTTAGCTGACCCACCGGGGAACAGATGAAATGGTAATTAAATTTTATTATACCTGGTAAAGCAGACACCCCAGTTTGACAAATGCGTCTGATTGATTAACCTCCGATCTATATTTCTGGTGGGTTATAGACGGGTAGCATTGTTAGAGGCGAATAGCGCGTAAACTAACGTGTGTTAAATATTTCTTTAGGTGGCCTGGTTGAGAGTTGAAAGTAAAACCATCCTGACAATTCGTCATAAGGTGATAACCAGAAATTACAGAATAGACCTGAGCCACGGAGATCGGCGAAACTGGATTCTCCACATCAAGAACGTCCAAGAGTCTGATAAGGGAGGCTACATGTGTCAGATTAACACTGTGCCCATGAAGAGTCAAGTCGGGTATTTAGACGTAGTTGGTAAGTTAGTTATGGAATAGGAAGAGTCAGTCAACTGTTGACAAAAATGAATAACTTTGTTGTTGGTGAACAGTACCTTTGTATGAAAGTTTATTCAGCACCGAATCGGTTATTCGCTAGTAAGTTAGTAAATAAGCAGGAGATCATTTAAAGGTTTATTATTGACTGACTATAACAATTATTATTGACTGACTAACAAATACATTGGCAGTGGTTTCATTCTTTATTAAAATATTATGTTTGCAGTAGGAATTATCACACTGTAGATTTGTGACTACGGTTCCTTAAGTTATCGAACAGTACCTCGTGATCATAAAATGGCTTTGTTTGTTTGTTATTAAGTACAAAGCTACACAATGGGCTACCCGTACTGTGCCCACCAGACCTCCCGCTGAATCACGGGGGTGGGGGGAATACAATGCCATTCTAAGTCCAACCTGAATATTTTGACAAATTATTAAGGGAATGTTTATTTTATGTATTCGTTTTTTAACCTTGAAATTTGTTCTTCAGAAAAAACTTATCTTTCGTCAAGTATTCATTAAATAATTATGTTATTAATGATGAACTTGAATTTCTCACTAAAAAAAAAGAAGAAAAACTACACGTGAAAAAATATTAATTAAAGTGCATTCCTCTTTCTTTTTTTTTTTTTTTGTTTAGTAGAATAATGTGTAGTAGTTTCTTAAGA